TGCTGTATGGAATCCATGAAGAGCAATTTAAGGCCAAGAGAGTATTCTGGAGGAATACTACTGTGTGCTTGCTCTGTTCTTCAAGGCACTTATTGTTGGTGATGGTCACATGGCTTTTGTTCTGATGTATTGCAGCCATTCTTATGTTCAAGTGATAGTGTACTGGGGTGAGTGAAAACCTCTTTCTTGTGGTTTGCCTCTCTGAGTGCACACCTGACAACTAGTAGTGAAATAGGTGATGTACCACCTGTGCTTGTGTTAAAACTGACCTGGCAGAAGTTGACCTTTTGGGCTCAAGAAGTCATGGATTGAATACCTTTGTTGTTTGTTGGAGGAATTGCAACGATTTCTGGAGCTGCATTATTTTCATAAGTTCCAAACTAGAAAGCTTTTTCACTGCTGAAGTTACTGTTCAGTTTGGGTCTCATCCACAAAATAAGTCTGTCTGAGACTTTGATAACACTATTGTAAAGTGGTGGAACACTGAATGCTGATGTTTCAAATTGAAGCCCAGTTAGCACCTGCTGCTTTGCTTCATGCAGCTTCCTTACTCGGTCTGTTTCCAGGGACGCTTGATACTCAGGATCGTGTACCTTTTCACCTGAAAGGTCTGCCTCTCTCTGTCTCTCTCTAATTGTAGCCCTCTGCAGCCACTTCTATGTTCATATGCAATTAAAATTTACCTCTTAGAAGAAGCATCTAAAGGAAGAAAAAGAGATGTGAAATGTACATGTACATTAGCTCTTCTGTCTTATATGTCACATTAAACTGATTTCAAAGGTTTTCATCCTTCTCAGTTGTCTGGTATAGATAGTAATAGCACTGGATTGTGAAAATGCTAAGTTTTGGCAGGATTTATTCTCTAATTAAAAGTATGGTATTCAGAAGGGAAAATGGTCACCTGAAGTAGAGAGGCTTTCTTGACCCAGTTGAAGACTCTGATTTACTCCTTGTTTTTGTAACAACTGTGTCTAAAAGAAAAGACATAACTCTGTCACTCATGACTTTACTTCAGGTGTTTTGGTTGCAAAAACACAGGGACATCACCTTTGACTCTTCCATGGCAATACAACACATGTGGCTTTTTCACTCTGTATATTTGGTGGCTTAACACATACATGAAGTGGTGTGAATTGTTAGGTGTAGCTGGTATCTCATGCTTGTTCTACTATTGCAACATGTTCTAAAGGAAAAAGAATTGAATTCCATTTCAGCCTAATTCATCCTACATGATACTTCTGCATAGTTTTTTTCTAATTCCTTCATTACAAGTAGGTGCTATAGGAGAAATTAACTTCTTTTGTCAGTAAAAATTCCCTCACTTTTTCTTTTGTGGTGTGGAAAGTAACATAACTAGAACCTTTCCTCTGGTTCTTGAGAACAAGTTCCATAATGCATATAAGGGGGAAAAAAAAATAAATATCTGTCTCACTTCAACCCGTAAGATGATCATAAGTTTCTGCATTCCTCTTCAAAAATTGAGTCTGGGGCCCTACACTTGAGACTCTTTCTATAATTCTGTTAACCTGGTTGTATAGGTATCAGAAGCTTATGTACAGCTGATATGCAATGTTACTTTTTGGCAGAATCTGTCATTTCAAATTTTATAACCAAATGCCTGTACTTACTTAAAAATAAAATAAAATTGAACTATCCATTAATCTTCTGTAACTGGAAGAATTCTTGTGTGTGTTCTTCTAAATGCTCCTGCTGCAGAAGTCTAAGCACAACCAAGTAAGCTGGAGCTTGTGGTACTGACAGCTGCCACATTGACGTGTTAGTACTGCTTCTTGGGCTAGCTTTTTGGCATAGGAAAGTCAGTTCCTTAGCAATCTCTTCCAAATTTTTCAGCACTGGATCAGCTTAGTGGCTTGATTCACATCATGTTATTGGACTGTATCTTTGTGAAAGACATTAGAAAGATCAAAGGGTCATTGTGGAGATGGAAGCTCTCTGCAAATGGTACTTTTTGCTGTAAGATTGGAGATTTTTGATCATGGTGGTCTGCCGTGCTGAGCTCTGCAGTTTCTGTAACAGCATCTAAATATGGATGTGCTTTTCTGTTCAAATACGGTAAGTATTATAAATTAAATATCAGGGCTTTTATTTGCTTATCCTACTAAAAAGACTGCTATCACTTTTTCTTCTCCTAAAAAAAGAAATATTTTAAAATTTATGTCATAATGGTAGCATTTACAACTTTGGTCATTGATAAAACACAAATGTAGCCTGGTACCCTGCTGTATTTGTAGTTGACTTTAATATACAATTTAATAAACAGTATTTAAAAAAAAAAAACACAACCAACATTTATGAAGAAAGAGAATAATATACTGAGCTATGTCCTGTGAGAGAGAAAGGGTGTAGAGGTGTCTGTGTGAGTATGGATGGTATGGATTGGCAGCTTGACTGAATGAATTGTTAGATACCTGTGTCAATTCCTAAACATGTTTTAATAGGCACTGGTAGTCACATAGTAGCAAAATAAGAGTTGGTAGTTGACATGCTTAAATGGTTGTGTGTGTTTTGTTTTTTTTTTCTCCCCACACCTTTGAAATTTAGGATGGTACAACAGTTTTCAGTGGACTTTGAAAAAAGGATCGAAGGATCAGGAGATCAGGTTGATACACTAGAACTTTCAGGAGGTGCCAAAATCAATCGTATTTTCCATGAACGTTTTCCTTTTGAACTAGTGAAGGTATTTATCCATCTTGCTGGTGTGCCTTGTGTTTTATTTATGTATTATTATGTTCATACTGAAAGTAGTAAAGCCAACATAAGGTCTGATTGGAAGAATGTGCTCTTAACTGTGGAAGAAATTACATGAAGTTATAACTGAGACATTTGGCTTCACTTCTAGTTTTGGATACCGAGATGTGCTAAGAATTCTGAAATACAGGAATTAGAATATAATTATAGTCCCAATTCTTACTATTTTCCATGCTTTCTTCATTGTTTTATCACAAATGGCATCTTCCTTCTGGTTAGATGGGGCAGGCAAACAACTACAGTTGGTAAATTTAAGTGGTTGTGTTCAAGTAGCTAGTACCTATTAAAATTAGAGTTATGGAAAATAGCCATTTTCTGTGTTTTCTACTTCCTGTATTCAATGCATTAAACCAAAGCCAGCTTTCAGTCCTACAATTTAATAGAGGGAGATGGAGCAGAAGCAAATTTGGTGTTTTGAGATAACATTTCTCTTCTTGATACATCTCTCCTTGCTTACCCATCCTTTGGGTAACAGAGTAAAGGGAGGTCCAGTGGGGTGTGAACTAATGAAACCTGGTTTCCTATGAGTTTGTGTTACATATTCTTTGATTATTTTATTTTTTCTTTCACTGCAGTGACTTCAGCTTCCGCTCACCATGAACTCTACTGTATCTCTAGTCCCCAATCTTTTATGCTTTTCCTAAGTTTCCTTTCCACCTATTTTACATTCAACTGCCTTGACATCCCCTAACTTTCAGTTGGGTAAGAACCAGACAGCATTGCAGCTGGTTCCAAGGTTTAAATGTGGTAGGTCAACTAGCAGTCCAACAGAACGGATGACAATTGGGCTTAAGTAATGACCTTTTGGTTTGTGACTACACTAACTTCTCTTCCAGCTAGCTGGCTTTCAAGAAACTTAAAGAAAAGCTTTATAACTTCATAACCAAGAGCATTCCTCTCTTAAATTTGGTTAAAAAACAGTAGAATGGGAAGGGGAGGATAAACAGGCCATAATCACAGAAGTTGCACCACTTTAGGAAAACAGGCTTTTTTAAAAAAAAAAAAAAAAAAAAAAAAAAAAAAAAGTCTATTTTACAAAACACTTTTTGTTCACTACCAAAAAAAAAAAAAAAAAAAAAAAAAAAAAAAAAAAAAAAGTTGTATCTTCCAAATCCTATTTCTGGCTTACTCTATCAAAATTGTTCCAACTGTTGGTATATCTGGAACGGAAAGGTGCATAATTTTCAACAATCCTTACTGCTGCCTGTAGCCTTAGTGTTAAAATGTTTTAAAATACTTGTTCTTTGTTTAGCGTAATTAGAAACCAATGTTTCGCCAGTTGAACTTGCCTGTCTTCCAGTTATATTGGGAGAGGTAGTATTTTCTGTTGTATCAAAAACTTCCCCTAATACGATCTCATATGCTTTTGTTCCTCTAGATGGAATTCAATGAGAAGGAACTGCGGAGAGAAATAAGTTATGCCATCAAGAACATACATGGTATCAGGCAAGTGCTCCCATGTTTTCAAGCCCAGTCATATTATAGGGGGTGTGATCTTTTTAACCTGTGGACACACTGACTATTGACTGCTAGACTACATTGCTAACACACTGCTCCAAGCAGCTGATTTTTTTTTGCTTCCACTCCTTTACACTTCTGTTTTTCAGGTAGCTGTTTTGGACCAAACAGTTGGTTTGCCCAAAGAGGTTTAATTTACCTGGAAATGCTGGAAAATTATTTTATAGAGAAAATCAATGACTTTTTTTCTGGTAGTGTCTACAGTTCTGTTAAGCTTGTATTCCAGAAAAGTCGCAAGTTTTAGAGGGAAAACTTGTGACTTAATGTGGAAAAAACCTTTCAGCTTCTGTTGTGGCAGACTGCTTGCACTATCTTACTCCCCTTTATTCTCAACCATTTCTTGAAATGACTGATTTACAAGTGAGTTGGCTGAGGTTCCACTTTGTGGACATGTCTGCAGTATATTATTAGGTTTGGGAAGATGAGATGTTTGGTTTTTTTTGTTTTGGAATGACCTAATTATCTCACTTTGGACTGATCAGTCTATTTTGGAGGGACACTTTTTCAGATACATACCCATGTTTTGTTCTTCTGACAATAGAACAGATTCCAAAAAGCTTGGGTGGTTCTTTTGTGTTGTGTGCTTTTCCTTTGGGATCCTTCCCCCTGCCTGTGCTTACCAACTTGCGAGTAGGTAGTATCTTTTGAAAGCATTGCTTACAAGCTTTGTTGTTGTTAGTGTTTTGGTAAATGTTCCTTGTGTTACTTATAAATTCTCAAATAGTTGACTCTAGTAACCATGGTGTGGTATTTGAACTTTTCTGGCTCTTCATGAGCAATCTATGGCAGTGAACTGATAGTTTTGGGCATGTTTTTATAGTTTGCTTTTTAAATATGATTTATCTGCCAAGGTAGATCTTTGCAAGCAGTGTTTGAAAGAAAAGTAAGGCCTATTTATTTAGAACTGGTTCTGTGAGATCTGTTATATAGGTTCATATGTTCTGCAGTGACCAACTGTGAAATTCTCTGTATAGGACTCTGAGTAACAGAACCACATTTCCTGCTGTGAGTGACAAGTGCAACTATAGGATTCTTATGGGTTTGCTATGCAAATGATCGTGCATGCAGCTGCCATTCATCCCTTCTTTAAGGTTTGATGCACTACTGAAGGGGTTTTACTGCATTATATCAGTACTGTTTAGAGTTCTCACAGTCATCTTCAAGTAGCAGACCATGTTTCTGCTTTTATATTCTTATTCACAATGACACTTTTTTTTTTTAGAGAAAGGACCAAATTTAGTTTTGTGGAAGTCTGTTTGCGTAGGGATTGTTATTACTCAGCTGTAAGCATCTGAAAATGAAGATATGAGCAATTCAGTAAAAAAATCTTCCTTGCATGATGTTTTTATTACTGTCTTACATATTCTTTTATGTCCACAGAACAGGTTTGTTTACTCCAGATATGGCGTTTGAAGCCATTGTTAAAAAACAGATAGTCAAGCTGAAAGGACCTTGCTTAAAAAGTGTGGATCTGGTCATGCAAGAGTTAATCAACACTGTCAAGAAGTGCACTAAAAAGGTAACTTGCAAATAGATCATAATGTAAGTATAATATAATGGTATAGTTGGTACTATAAAGCCTGTCTTGCATTTTACGGTATTATAAGAGCTTTCTGATCTAGTCATTTGATATACAGAGTAAGACTCTCTAAAGTAATTACAACTTCTGCAAAACTCTCAAAACAATGTAATGCTGTAAATGTTCGGGTTTTGCTTGCTGTGTTTTGAATAGATATATACACCTTATGATGGGAGCTTTTCTGAGTCAATAGTTGCCCCCAGTTTCCTTTTTAACACCATATTTGCATTGATACTGAAAATGAAACATAGGCAGCAATTCCATAGATTTGTAAATCAGCAAAAAAAAATTTTTACTTCAAAGTTTTCTTTTCCAATGCTAGAAAACTTTCACTATTTCTTCCTCTTATTAAAGCAAAGACCTCAAATGTATTCAGAGACAACTATCAAGGAGAGAAAAATACTCTTTCTATATTGAAACTTTACTGGGTAGCACCACAGTTCTTTGCAATAATGGGTCCATGACTTCCCTGTACTTTTTTCATACACAACTCCAAAGCGTCTGATCTCCAGCTGTCAAGAAGTTAGAAGTGGAAAACCAGGAAGACTTCATCTCCCTTGTATTTGTACATTCTTGCATTAGTGTTGACGGTTGAGCTTGCTGCACAGAAATGTTGAACATTTAAACAGAAAGAACCACTGGGCATTGACCTTCCTGATGTGAAAGCTGTGTGCATCAATTAACTCAAGATCTTGCAAGTGTAATAAATTAAGAAATATGTTCATCAAAACTAAACATAGCATTACTATGAGTATTTGGGAACGGTTTTCCTGAAGAGTGTGCTTGGGTTGGTGTATAGTGTTAGAATGAATCCTCAAACTTCATACCCCCTCAGCTGTGGCTAAGGAAGCATGTCAGATCTATTAATATGAAGTTATTTTTCCTTGCACTGTTCACCTTCATAGGAAAGTTGTCATCTCCAGATACTGCAACTCAGTTGTCTGGTGCGTTGATAACTAACAGTTACTGATTTTTAAATTCTCTTTTCTCCCATTATTCTGTGGTCTTCTAGAAGATCCCATTGACTCTTGTAGCCTTCTCAGCTAACTGGCTACTTTTATTGTCTCGCCTTCTGTTCATCTGTCTTTCCCACCATCTCAGGGTGCAGAGAACCCTAATAGTAGCAAATACAGGAGCAGTTCTGGGATGTGAGCACAGGTATGCTGAAGTTGTTGAGAAATATCCTGTCACATACTTTGCATTTTTCTGAGTAATGCAATATTATTTTTTTTTTTTTGTACCAGTAAGCAGGTAAAAGAGCTATTTCTTAAAACAGGAAAGGATGACAATCTTTTTGACAAAGATCATAGAGAAGTGCATTGACCGCAATAGTTTGAGTGGAGTTTCCAGTTGTTTTGTTGTGTTTTTTTTTTTCACTTCTGTCAAAGTTTGGAAGATATGTCACTTGAATTAATTGTGCAGATTCTTTTCCCGGTGCTGTTGGCCAAATTTACTATTGTGTTTCGCTATTTACATTTTTAAATATTGTTATTGCGATGTAAAGATGTTGCCACAAGGTGGAGCCTTCAAAGAACAAGAAACTCGGAAATTATTTGAAGTGCCACTCTGGAATTAGGCACAGTAAGAGAAAGAAGGAGGGAAAAACCTTACCCCAAGGCTGATAAACTGTGGTTCATATATCCGCAGTGTCTTCTCCTCAGTGTTCCATGGAGCAAAATCACAGAAACAATCCAAGGGTTTAGGTCTCATCAGTTTCTCTGGAAAACGACCATTAATAGCAAGTAAGGCTTGCTTTGTAGTGTAGTTAACTTTTAGCCCAAACATTTATAAAAATTGCTTTCTTCCAAAGAGGAAAGCTGGAGGTACCCCTGTTTGTGTTCTACTGAAGCCACCCTGCAGGTGTAAATTTCTATTAATTTTACTTTTCAGCTGGCAACATATCCAAGGTTGTGTGAGGAAACAGAAAGAATCGTTGCTGGCTACATTCGTGAAAGAGAAGAGAAGACCAAGGATCAGGTGAGAATAAATAGGAGATCTAACAGTTTGGGGAAGTATGTGAAGGAGGAAAGTTCTTGCATACAAAGTGCAGTGAGACAATGAAAGATTTCCTCCTCCCCCC